TGTAAACTTAAGTTTAAAATATAATCATGAGAATGTCAAGAGCTAGGTCTTTTGTTCTGCCTCAAGCCCAGAGGGAAACAAGTTTGACCCCCAAATTCCCCTTTGTCCCCACTTCACTGCACTAGTTCCCAGCCCTGGAGAGAAGGAGACATGCACAGCTAGCTCTAACTCTCCCTGCACCTCCTCAGCCTGCACGCCCTTCATATGAACCAGACAAAGTGGCTCCAGCCTACCTGGTGCCCCTGGGGAAGGCAGGAGCAGCTGTAGCATGGGAAGCCAGGATGTTCCCACCAGCTTCCAGGACTGGGGGAGGCACATGGGGCAGGTGGGAAGGTCTCTCATCTCCAGAGGGGCCTCTGTCAGCAGCCAGGATCCTCTGGCAATCCCTCTGTCATGAACAGGGAGTGCTGACCAGCACCCAATGACTAAAGGGTTAACTCAGGTACCTAGTAAAGGTGTCGACCAAGGGTCCAGGAAAGCCAATTGAGATAAAGGATTGAAATTTGAATTGGATATAGGTTCCCTGCCTGTTCTCTTTGTGTGGGAGAGTTAAACCAGGAGTTGACACACACAGAATGATTTAAACTCAGACAAGATTACCATGCCCCTCCACATGGAATTCAGGGCATGGGAGAGGACTGAACAAAGAGAAAATTAGAACTGAGTACCAGGGAAATGTGAATCCAGTCGCGTTCAGGATAATTTTTCTTTATTTTGTGGTTTGGTTTGAACTGCTCTCTGTGAATCTATGCCTCCCCTCCCCATTTACTACCATCTAAGCTTTGTGCCAAGACTTTTCTAATTTTTTAATTTGTTTTCCTTGGTTGCTCTATAACATCTAGCAACCAAGTAAGCTTTAAAAAGTTTATCTTTTGTTTTGCAATGAAAAATTACTTCTTTTAAGTTAATTATTTGATTCTTGTGTTGTAGAAGGTCTGTCTGTGTATATCTGTATGCCTCTGACAGAGGGAGGGGTCAACTACAGAGACTGTAGCTTGTTTTTCTCTTTTCTTTTTCAAGCTGTTTTGGGGCAAAAGTGTTTAGGGTACCACGGATGGGGTTGAAGTGTTCACCCCTGTTTTTTTGTTTTTTTTTAAAGAGATCAAAAATTCCCCAAAATTTGTGTATTAGGATTCTGGGGGGAAGTTTTTGTAACCAGTGCCTGTAGAGGCAAGGTTTTGAAGCTCTCTTGCAGCCCCCCACCTTCTGCATTCGGAGTGCCAGAGTGGGGAACAGCCTTGATACCCTCTGTGGCTCCCCTGGCAACAGTTAGGTCCATCCCACTCTAGTCGCACCGCTGCTCCATGCCGGGAGAGACGAGTCAGAGTAATCATTTGGCCGCAGGGGCAGAGCTGCAGCAGCTAATGCTCTGCAGGGCAGGTGAGGTGTTGTAAGCTGGCCTCCTGCTCACTCCCGCCGGCAGCCACTGCCCCCCACTGAGCTGGGCAAAGGGGTGTGACCAATGGCCTGGCACCCCATCAGGACATGGGAGAGACCAGCACAGGGACCATGGGAGGGTGCATTTTCACCCTTCCTCTCGCAGCCCCATACGGGCCTGTAAAGGCATGGGTGTGGCCTGGCAGTGTGCTGCAGCCCACCAGCCAGCGGTTAGTGGTCTAACACCAGTCCACAGACTGACGGTTGGGAACCACTGAAGTAGAGGCTGGAGTTTGCCACAGCTCATCTGACATCTCCATAATTGCCTTGTTAATGGGCAAAGCAATTTTACCATGAAGAGTGAGTTGTAAGTTTTTCAGAAGCCAGTACTGTTTCTCCTGCACCTCTTGAAGTGGAACCTCCTGGCTCGCTGCCACCTTTTAAAAAATTGTTTAAGATAGTCAGCCGGGCATAGGTCAGATGATATGACTGCCTTATCGGGCAACAAAGAATTATCTTTGGAGATGTACGAGAGTCAGGATCCCTATTATGAATCTGGCCTTCCTCCTCTTACAAGTCTTCGGGTGGAGGGAGTGTCATGGCCATGAGGGAGGGCCAGCAGCCTGGGGACTTATGCTTGCATCAGGAGTACTGTTTTGATAATAAAAGTTATTTTTTTTTTATTAACCTGGTTTGGTGCATTTCTATGTACTGGAAAATCTGTCTGTGGGATCTGTATGCCTCTGATTAGGGGATAGCAGCCACAGACTGCAGTTTATATTTTCTTTCTTTTTCAAGCTCTTTGTAGAAAAGAGCTTGGGGTGCTCCTGGGGTTGGTTTCAAGTGTCCACCCCTGTTAGGGGGTTCAAAAGCATTTGATGGTGGCAGCGGATTCCCCAAAGTCCAGGTATTAGGATTTTAAGGGGAAGTTTTGTACCAAAGCCTGTAGAAAGCAGGTTTTAGGGGTGTTTTTGCAGGCCCCCACTTCTGCATTCATCATGCCAAAGTGGGGAATCAGCCTTGACATGGTGGGAGCAGTGGGATCATTTTGAGAACCCAGAATTTTCCAGCATAATGACTAGATGAAAAAAGTCACCAATTAATATACTCATGGGGACTCCTCTGGGCCAAAACTTAGTTACAAAAGAGAGGAAAACCCATTTCTAACAGCACAGACATCAGATCCAAAGTCCCACAATAGAAAACAGTAAAACCTAACGGATTTATCTAAACTTTATCCTACTTACACATTTTAAAGAGTCTTTTTCTTGGAGACAGACATGTTGGGATGAACGTCTTTTAGTCGGTGTTGAAAATGTCACATATCAGTGTCTATATGGGCCCCAGTGCTCACAGGGTGGCTACTAAGATGGTTAATGTGGTGGAGGGTATGATCAATGTGCATTACCAGGAAGGATGACGAGATCTGTCCCAATAGTAATATAACCACAAGCCCATCAGGGAGGCGTGGGGTGACGAAAAAACACTCCTGTGGTCATCATCCCCTAGGACACAGTGCTGAGACAGCACTGGAGATCTAATAAGATCTGGAGAGCTGTGGGTCAAAGATGGGGATGGGGATGGATCCCTGATGGCAGGACACAAATGGTAGTCTCTGCCATGACCTCCCTGTGCCGACAATGTTCAGTCAAGTGCTGCCCATGTCGGGTGGTGGGATGGTTCCTTCACTGGTGCTATAGAGGCTGAAGATGGTGGCATGGGGCTTGGTGCCGAGCTCATTGGTGCCAGTCGAGTTGACTGTCTACAAAGCCAGCATCATCAAAGTTTTTGGTGGTGCTGGGCAGTGTTCCCTCTAAGTTGCACAGCAGCATAGCTTCACACGTAATTAATCAACCCGCCCAGTCAAAGGCTCAGAGCTCCTAGGATAGAGCTGGCTGACTGGGCGGGGCAATCAATCATGTGTGAAGCTATGCTGCCGTGTAGCTTAGAGGGAACACTGGTGCCAAGTCACGGTGCAGTGCTGAAGCCAAAGATTGTCTGTGGACTCGACAGCACCAAAAAGCCCCGGGCCAGTACCTGAGCCAGTTCCAGCAGTGTGGTACCTGCACCAGAAGGTGTCAGTTCCACAGTACTGGACATACCCGGGCTATCTCCCCTGCTAACTCCAAGGGAAGATGAAGGAGGGAGAGTATGTGCCAGGAAAGCTCTCTTCATAATAGCCTTCCAAGGAAGCGGGGAGGCAGCTCTTTTCTTGGTGGACTCCTCCTGTGGCTGGGAGTATGTTGGTCCTCAACAGGCTGCATGGCTTTTTCAAATAGAATCATTCTAAGGTAGACCTCTCTGTCTTTCTAGCTCTCGCCATCAAATTGTAGTAGTGCTTGCACTTTTATGAGATATGGGCTTCACTCATATAGTGAATACACAGCCAATGTCCATCCGAGCCTGGCATGGCATCGTGACATGCTTCACAATTCTTAAAGCCCGGCGAGCCTGGCATATTTCTGCATCCACGGCTTTTCTTCTCCTCTCCTCTTTTTTTTTCAGAAAAAGAAAACAGAGCAACATTCAGAGGAGAACTGGAAGAAACAACAAGTTCTTGCAGCCTCCTGAGCAACCAGAGTCACGTCAAGCTTCCCTGAGGGAAAGATTACATAGATAACTATCTACAACTAAGAATTAAACACTGAAGTAAGTATGCCTGAGGCAAGACGTTGAAGATCCGTCTGCAACCAAGGGCGGTTAGCAAAGAATTGAAGGTGTGGGGGGGTCAGAGCATGTACACGAGGCGCTAAGGCGCAAATTCCACAAGGCGTCTTTTCGTGCATGCACAACCCAATAGGGAAACTGCTTTGCAAGGCTCCACTGTCACCAACAGTGGAACACCCACAGAAACACGACTTGAAGAAGAAGTAAGAGATTTTGAGAGGGCAGGGGCAGCATACTGAAGCTTCTCTCTCCCTCCCTTCTCCCCTCAGTACAGAGAGCAAAACAGAGCAGCTAGCTGCTTTTATTGGCACTGCGCACTGCTGCAGGGGTGGTCACAGGTTGGATCAAAAGGCTTGATGTGCCAGATCTGGCCTGTGAGCTGCATCTTGCCCATCCTCGATGTGTAATGATCCTTCAAAAGAATTCAAAGTTAGGCAGGGATTTTTCTTTTTTGTAATGTAACAATAAAAATGTGACTAGGAGGCACAGTTCAATGGTTAAGCCATTGAAGTGGAAGTCAAAAGACCTGAATTCTAATGCAGTTGCTGCCACTGAAAATTGACCTCTTTGGCAATTAACTTCACTGCTCTATGAACCTCTGCCACTCTCTCTCATCTATTTAGATTATGAGAGCTTCAGGGCAGGAATTACCTCTGACTTTGTATTTGTACAATGTCTAGCACAACATCTAGCATAATGGAGTCCCAATCTCAGCTGGGCCCATAAAATACAAGTAATAAAATTTGTATTTGTTTTTAAACTTACATTGCAATGTGAATTTTCATTTGCAGTATTGATAATTGTCTGTTTAAGATTAACAAAATGGTATGTAGTGTATCTCTCAGTGCCACTTACATTTTCTTTTTTGGTCTATATATTTTGTATTACCTTCTCCCACAGTCTTGTCTGAAAGAATACATACTTTTGAATATCAAATACAATGAACTTATGCATACCTCTTCCATCTGTCTCCATATCTCCTCACATTCATCTAAGAGTTCTTCTCTGGCATCTGCAGAACACACTATGTTACTGGTGATTGCTGGAGCGAGATCATGTTGGTACGAAGACATACGTTTTGCCAATTTCTCAGCCTATGAACAAGAAGAAAATAATGGTCATCATCATATGGAACTAAAATTAGAAAAGGATAATCATATCCATCAAAAACCAGCAAAAACTGTATAATTTCTCTTAATCCTTCAAGTAGCAGGCCTCATCTCCACATTCAGTTACACTGCCCAAAACTTCTAACTTTAATTAAAAGCAGTTAGCTCTATTAGGCTATGTCTACACTACAAGGTTATTTTGAAATAAGTAACTTCAAAATAACTCCCAAAATAAATATTTCAAAATAGTGAATACACACTACAAATCCCCATTGAAACAGCACAGATTTATATTGAAATAGCACGTCCACACTGATTGGAGCCTGTATCACATTTACAACTCCCCAGAAGCACTCCTGGCAGGGCATCAGGACAGCAGTCACTTCTTAGAGCTGCTTCCCATGACTCATGCTTAAAGGGGATCCTCTCTACAGCTGTGTCTCAGACTCTTCTCCATTTTGCCTACCTCCTCAAGAGACAGCAAACTCTCACTGTGTGTGTTGGTTGCCCTTGCGAATGCCATAACACTTCCACCGTGGAGCCACATCTGTTGCAAATCAGTGTCAGCCTCTTAGATTTGCTGCTGCAACTCCTGGTGCAGTTTATGCAGATTGCCCTCGAGGCGCTACAGGGCCACAACAACCAGCTTAGAATAGTGCACTGCCTCGCGCTGGCCCGTGCACTCCTCATACACCATAGCCCCTTCCACCCTCCCCTGCACACCATGCACCATTGCTTCTGGTGCCAGGAGACCAATTCCGACCAGTAGAACCGGATTGTCATGGAGCGGTGGAACGACCATCAGGGGCTCCAGAACTTGCGCATGCAGAAGGCCACCTTCCAGGAGCTCTGCAAGTGGCTGGCGCTGTCCTCCAGCGATGGGACTCCTGCATGCAATGTGCCATCCCCCTCCAGAAGCGTGTCACCATTGTCCTCTCAAAGCTCACCACGCCAGATACCTACTGCTCCGTCAGGAACCAGTTTGGGATGGGGAGATCAACCGTTGGGGCCATGGTCATGCAGGTTTCACTCTTTTACTATGTTACGAGGGTGGCAAAGCACTCCAGTGCCATGTTTCCCAATTTTTTTTGACCACGGAACCCTTTTAAATTCAGAAACCTTTCAAGGAACCCCTACTGCCAGGGAATAAGTTTGTCGAGCAAAATAAAACAAAAAAAACCCCACCACCCAAACACACAGACTGGGGAGCGGGCTTCCAGTACACCAAAATTAGTAGTCAATTAGTAGTAACAAGATGCTAAATACGGTCATGAGATCACCATTCATTTTAATTCAGCATATTTTAAATCAAAAATCATATTAAATATGTACAAAAAATAAAGCTATCAAATAATATTAATTATATTCACAGTTTTCAATGCAAAGAGTGGTTTTTCTTCTTTTCTTGGCAAATTCTTTTTATATTTGATTTAATACTAGAAAGTTGGATTCGCATATTTGGCGCAGCAGTCAGTCAATTTCTGTATTTCATTTTTGTTGCTGCATAATTCGAGAATCCAGTTTCACACAAGTATGTGCTGGCGAAGGGTACAGCTGACCAACTGCTTGTCTTGATAAAGATGAATATTCTTAACTTTGACATAAGCCACCCCAAAATGTAATCAGAGAAACTTCTTTAAATTTTTGTATTAATTAGCCGTCCAAAGTGATTTCAATTAGGTTTTCATAATCTTGTGTAGAAAAGCTGACTGGCTTTTCTGTTAAACTTAATGGATTTTGAATCCAGTTATTGTTGTCATTGATGGTTGGAAAATAATGATGTTCATGTATAAATCGCAGAGATGATCTGCAATGTCGCTGCAAATATCTTCATCAAATTTGCATTCATTTTCTTCAAGGAAATCATTCAGTGTTGGGAAACAATCCAAATTATTTTGTCCTACAGATGAGATCCAAAACTGTAGCTTCTGTGACAATGATAAAATTTTATCTTTCGCATTAAAAATATTTACATTCTTTCCTTGCAGCGACAGATTTACTTCATTAAGTTTTGTAAAGATGTCTGCAAGATACACAACTCTTGATAACCTAAAAAAGTTTGTTAAACGATCAGACAGTTGGAATTTGTGATCCAGCAAATATGTGGAGAGCTCATGATGCAACTCAAATAATCTAACCAGCACTTTGCCTCGCAATAGCTACTGGACTTCTGTATGTAGAAGCAGGGTTTTGTGCTGACTACCCATATCTTCAAACATAATTTTGAGCAGTCTTGATTGTAATGGTCGAGTTTTTATATCATTAATAATCTGTACTGCTTCGTCCAACACATTTTTAAGAGAGGGAGAAATATTCTTAACTACCAGAGCGTGTCTGTGGAGAATGTAATGACTGCTGGTGCAGTTTGGTGCTACATTATTTATTTGGCTACGTCTACATTGGCATCCCTTTCCGGAAAAGGGATGCTAATGAGACGAGTTGGAATTGCAAATCCGCGGGGGATTTAAATATCCCCCGTGGCATTTGCCTTTACATGGCTGCCGCTTTTTTCCGGTTTCGGGATAAGCGGAGAAAAGCGCCAGTCTAGATGCGATTCTCTGGAAAATAAGCCCTTTTCCAGAGGATTTCTTATTCCTACTTATTCCTTTCAAGTACGAATAAGAAATCCTCCGGAAAAGGGCTTATTTTCCGGAGAATCGCGTCTAGACTGGCGCTTTTCTCCTGCTTACCCCCAAGCCGGAAAAAAGCGGCAGCCATGTAAAGGCAAATGCCGTGGGGGATATTTAAATCCTCCGTGGATTTGCAATTCCGAAGTGTCTAATCTGCATCCCTTTTCCGGAAAAGGGGTGCAGTGTAGACACAGCCTTTGTGTTCAGCACCAGCCACTCTTCCTACCATTGCTTTTGCACCATCACTGCACACATCAACACATTTTTCCCAGCTTATTTGGCGTGTTTTCATAAAGTTATCGATACAATTGAATATAGTCTCACCAGTCATATTGGTTTGCAAAAATTCACATAAAAGTAAGTCTTCTTCAGTAGAACTATTAAAATCATAACGGACAAATACAAGCAAAACTGCAAGACCTGCAACGTCAGTGGATTTTCCTAATCATAATGCATATGCATCACATAAATACAGCTGAAAAATAAGCTCCTTCTCGATGTCAGCAGCCAGATCGTGAATACGATGTGTGACAGTATTGTTCGATAGTGGCACAGCCTCAACTTTTTGATGAGACTCCTGATCCAACATAACACATTACAATATCTTTTGCACATGGTTTTAAGAGTGATTCCCCAGTAGTGTGTGCTTCTCCAGCAAGTGATATACGATAGCAAACTTTGTAAGACGCCTCTGTTGCATTTTCATTATCAGATTTGGCAATTTTTGACATGAAGAGTTTACTTTTTTCAAGTGATTCAAGCTTCGGCTTAAAAAAAATTTGTCTTTATCTTTGTTTTCTGGATGATTTGTTTCAAAATATCTTCGCAATTTAGCAGGTACTAAACAACTATTAGATAATATTTTGTTGCACAGTATACACTCGGCACCTGGAGCAGCTTTATTTCCATTGCTTGTGAATCCAAATGACAAACAGTCCTCACAACACCTGAGTTTCTTATTAGTCGGCTGTAATTTTTCATAATTAACTTGAACTGCCTCAGTATTTTCCTTGCTGGTTTCAGTAAAAATATTGGAGTTTGAAGTACTCACTTTTTTCTTTCAAATTCCTTCTTTTAACCAACGATCCATGGGGAATTTTGATATTAGCTTGAATTCTTAAAGTCACACACAACAGCTGCTGGTCCCGCTTCTCCCCGATCAACCCAACATTCCTCTCCCCCGTGCCCCGCTGCCTCTCTCCTTTTACCAAAGGACCTAGCAGCACCTACTAGGTCCCTTGGAAAAAGCAGAGTGGCAGCAGGGGATGGGAGAGAGGAATCTTGGGTTGATCGGGGAGAAGCAGGACAAGCAACTGTTACTCCTGCTAAGTCCGGTGGTAAAAGAAGAGCGGCAGCAGAGGATGGGAGGTGTCTGAAAGGGCAGTGGGGAACCAGAGAAGGAGCCAGCGTCTTTGTGCGCCAGGCTCCTCTCTATCTCTTTAAGGGCGGGAGAGGAGGGAGCGTTCGGGTTCTTGCAGAACCCTTACTTTCACTTCGTGGAACCCCAGGGTACCGTGGAGCACCATTTGGGAAACACTGCTCCAATGTGTTACCTAGGAAGGGTATGTGGAATCTCCCTTCCTAGAGGTTTTTCAGAGCCAGTTTCACAAAGCCCTGCCAGGGATGGGGGTAGCTGAAGTTAGTTCCTGCTTTGGGAAGGGACTTGGGTTTGGGGACCTCCCAAGGTCTCTTGTAATCCTATGATTCTACAGGTGGTAAAGGACATCAATGCCATCCTGCTATGCAGGATCACCTTGGGCAACGTGGACCACACTCCCTTCCTAGAGGTTTTTCAGAGCCAGTTTCACAAAGCCCTGCCAGGGATGGGGGTAGCTGAAGTTAGTTCCTGCTTTGGGAAGGGACTTGGGTTTGGGGACCTCCCAAGGTCTCTTGTAATCCTATGATTCTACAGGTGGTAAAGGACATCAATGCCATCCTGCTATGCAGGATCACCTTGGGCAACGTGGACCACATTACTGCAGTGGGTGGGGCGGGGGCGGGGGCAGGGGGGGACAGGACAGGGCAGGGCAGGCCAGGCCATTGACAGCACAAACATCCCTGACCACCGGGCCTCAGACTTCATCAATAAGACGGGGTACTTTTTCATGGTCCTGCAGACCCTTGTGGACACAGGGCCTGATTCGCGGACATTTTTGTCAGGTGTTTGGGGAAGGCGCATGACGCCCACATCTTCAGAAACTCCAGCCTCTTTCAGAGGATTTACACCGGCACTCTTCCTCCCCTGACCGTACCACCAGCGTTGGAGACATGCCTATGTGCAGCATAGGCGACACAGCCTACTCTTTGCTCTCTTGGCTGATGAAGCCCTCCACAGGATATCTGGACGCAACCAAA